GAGATGGTTGGCGATACTACCGGGTAAGGTGGCTGGGGAGGGAGGGGCAGAAGGTGGAGGGATGGGGGAGAGTGGCTGGGGAGGGGAAAGCGTGGGTGGAGGTTGATCGTTAGCGGGAGTCTTCACTGGGAGCTTGGTTGTCGTCGTGGAGCTTCGACTCCGTTGTTGGCTGCGATTCTGTATCTCCTGCTGTGGAGATGGCGGCGTTTGAAAGTTGCTTGTTCTCCTTAGGTGTTGTTCCTGGCTGAGCGTGCGCGTGTGGCGCGACCGTCGCCTTTGTGGGATCCTGGTGTGATCTTCCTTAATGGCTTGTGGCGACTGTGTAGGCTATTCCAGAAGGTGGGTCTTGCCGCCGTAGGTTGAGGTCAAACGTTTATTTTCACTCGGCTTCCCCGATTCGAGGTCGACGAAGCTACGTGGCGATGGCGGAGGAGGGCTGCTCCTCGTGCTTGGTTGATACCATGGCGGCTGATGCAGCTGCAGTTTGAAATTCGCACGTCTCCTGCGCGCGGGCGGGAGCTCGCTGGCTCCCGGCGGGAAGGTGAGGGGGGTGGCAGCGGCACTAGCCGCGCGATGAGATTCGGGCTTCGGCCCAGTGGGCCCGGGTGCTGGCGCTAGCGCTGGCGCAAATTAGCGCAGCGTAGCGTTACGCGCTATCCTGTCGGCACCCGTTTTCGGGCGTATATAAAAAAGAAAGAACTCAGAATTCGTTGGATTTTCTAAACTGCGCTATTCTGTACTTTGCAACTCTGGTCTCAATGTGTGTGTGTGCTCAAGGTGACGAGCATTGTGGTTCAAAGAACTGTGCTTCCTCTTCGTGTGCTTGCTCATTTGTCTTTTTTGCCGTACATGTCTGTGCTTCTCTTTGTGTGCTTTCGTCTTTTTCTTTTTTTCCTGAGAAATGCTGCCTTTTGTTAAAATTGCTGAGATTCTCGAATCTTTTTTTTTTTTTCTGTGCTTGCTTCTAGAAGTATGACAGTCAGCAGAACAGATGCATATGTGACTCTTAGTAAACAGATCATGAGTTCAAACTTCAAATCCTGATGGACGAATCAGATGGATGGAATAACATTAGGGGCTACCCCCTTTAACAAAAAAAAAAAAAAAAAAAAAAAAAAGATGAAGACTGAGTTTTTCTGAATGTTTTTGGCTGATTCAGTATGGGCACATCCGGGTGTTGCTGTTCTGAGATTCTGAGTCTCTCACATTTCTGGTTCAGTGATGCCTCGAGTAGCCTTCATATAGTCCCTTGTCGCCTTTACCGCCATCAAGATGCTCTCTGTTCCACCAGATGTCACATTCCCACAAACTCCATTGCTGACATCTCCATTGAGTGTACTTGCTGTCATTGCGACTACTTCAGCTTCAAGTCGGGGAACGCTTGGGAACACTGACGAGTGCAGAGGATTGGTGTGAGCAAACCTGGGCCATTTTCAGAACAACAACCAAATAAAGCTCTCTGCTCAAAATTCCACCTTTGGATGGAGAGAGCACTACAGAATAATGCCAAACACGGCTGGTGAAAGTGAGCAAGGATCGACATTGGTCCAACTCCCAAGAGTCCCATCATTTACAAGAGAAACGCTTTCAGATTGGAATAACCGAGGAGTGCCAAAGTCTATTCCATTGGCGAACAGTGAGAAGCTTTCCCCCTCAGCAGAGTTGGGGGGAGCATTCCATAGGAGGGGCGAAGACTGTTGTGAGAGGGAAACTGTGCAGGCATGTAGGAGGGTGAGAAAGGTTGAGGCAATGCTACCGATATATCAAGCTTGTCCCCTTTTATCCGCTTGCTCATCTTTCTCTTCCGGTTCGTTCCTAGCTTCTGTAAAAGGTCAAGGGTCGGGATAGTGCATTGTAGACACAACTTCGCTTACACTACACGTGGGAGGAGAAGGTCATCAACAGGTAGCTCAGGTAGCAGGACGAGAAAGGTGGAGGAGGAAGCAAAAGAGCATGCCGGTTCTTCCACCCCTTCTCTGCTACTCTTTCTCCTCCTGCTCTTTCTCCTTGCTGCTTCTTCATTACTTGCCTTCCTTGTTGTCCTGCTTGTTGTGCTGCTTGTTGTGCTGCTTGTTGTGCTGCTTGTAGTGCTGCTTGTTGTATTGTAGTGCCACACTCAACTTCCTTGGTTCAAGTCAGTTGTCATGTGGAGAGCTGCTTTGCAATGATGGTGTCAGCGGGTACCTGACGCACCATAGACTCCTTACGTCTGACAGCCACTTGGAGTCTTTTTGATAAGTCAAATTCATGTCCGTTTTGCCTTTTCCCTGCAAGTAGCCTCATACACTTTTCTCCCATCAAACCGATACTCTTTACGTCCAGCGGTCAGTAGGAGTGTTGTTCATAAGTCAATTTTAGGTCTTCTTTTTCTATTTTCCCTGCAAGTACCCTCATACACTCCTCTCCCCATCAAACCGGGCTGCGCGATCGCTTTCTTTCTGTGACTGATGTCTGTCCTGACTCCCGGCAGGCTGAAAAAAGTCAAGGATGCCAACATTGGGACTTACCAAACCTTCCACTCTTGACAATCCAAGAAAAAGAGACGGTCTCACATCTAAACCTGAAAACCGACCACCTGTAGAGTTTAGGGTTAAGGGTTAAGGGTTTAGGGTTCAGGATTTAGGGTTAAAGGACACGCGGTTGACGGAGGGCTGAAAATTCATCGTTTTCGTCAACAGTTTCGGAGCAAAATTCAGTGAAAAATTTAGAAACAAACTATATGGGCCCATAGTGCGGGAGATGTTTAAGAGAGGACCGGAAATTCGTCGTTTTCACCGCGTCGCCACAAGCAAAAGCAAAATGGTGAAAAACTTCGGAAACAAACAAGATAAGAGGTGAATGGAGTAAAAAGCCATATTGTACTTGGAAGCCTCGACATCTGTGATCCCCTTTCGTGGGTAACGACTGAGACCAGAAGAGTATGCCACCATGTGAGTTATTTACCATAAAAAAAGTAGTGTAAGACAGTACTGACTAATAGATTCATGCACCGAACATTTCAAGCTGAACAAGCGTAGAAGAAGAAGCGAAGTTGAAATCAACTTACATGCTATACGCCTCCGTTAGAATCCTCATATGCTCCTTGAAGTTGTCTGCACCAAAGTATCTGCAGTAACCAGGAGATGCATTTCTTCATTTCTCATGTAGGATGTAATCGATGATTCAAATCAATAAGATATCACAAGATGGTGTTACACACAATTTGAGGGTTCTGTAATATTAATACTTAATATCATTTATTTCACTCAATTCAATAAATGAACTGCTTCAGAAATCTAGAAAGCAGCCATTCTCAAGAAGGGAACTGCATCAGAATTCTTTCCACTAAATCCATTTTTCGCTTTCTGAAAGAGGGGAATCTAGAACTTCACCAAAAAGCAACCTGAAGATCTCCAGACTTCACAGACCACATGCAACCACTGTAGTGGTGCTCCCCACAAGGACTAAGAGGAAACAAATTATTTTGGAAGTGGAAGGAATGAAAAGCACCCACCCCATGTGATGACTGAATGATGCTACATGTACAATAAGCGCACCTGCCACATGTCAACAACCGCCTCTCCCTCCCGGCGTGCACCATGGCCCGTAGCATCTGGGATATCCTCCTCCTTCTTCTACTTCTTCTTCTTCTTCTTCTTCCCTCACTCCTCCCCCCCCCACCCCTTCCGTTCTTCAGAAGCAGCATTGTCAGAATAATGCCCCCTGCCAATTCTCCAGTCCATTCCCCCACCGTGCCCCCA